TCTAGCGAAATTTACTGCGTTTCTGAGCAAGATAGATCTTATTGACTATTTTTATATTATCAAAAAATAGTAAAATTGAAAAGAATTTATATAAAAAACAGAATTATGATATTCTCTTCGTAAAATAAAAGAAATTTCATATTACTTTGTTTTGACGTTATTACTAAAGTTTTCGTTCCTTTAGTTTCTTTTTTGTCTTATCCTTCTACTTTGCCTCGTGACTTGCTGATAAACAGTATCGACGACATTATACTGGAAGATAAATCGCAGGCGCGTTCTATCTGCGTTATTTAGAGGCCACCTGCTTTTTCTTCATTAAACATCCTTATCAAAAAATGTAATCTCACTTTTCATTGATGTTATTGTTAAATTTTTTATTCTCTTGCGCGCAGCCTCGCGATTTGCTGATAAAACAGCATCGACATTTACGTCGAGTGATAAATAGCGACGCGCGCGTTCGCCACGATCGACTGCACTCGGACTTAATCATCAGCTCGATTTGAAAACCGAGAAGGATGTAAAAATGAGACGGGGATAAATATGGACGCGAGTCGTTTCTTGCCGCGAGATTGGCGGTATCTTTCTCCGCTAATACGAGAAAGCAGACCTCTTAGGTGCGTCTATCTGACCGATCTACGCTCCATCGCTTCACTCCCACGACTTTCATTCTTCCTCGGTGGCTTGCATAAGACGCGATCGGGACACGCAAGAACTTCCACAAAATCGGAGAATGCCCGGCAAGTGCCATGAGTGGAGCGGCACTTCCGCCGGGAACACGGCGCACAGTGAGGTCAAATGAAATTGCATGTTTCCAAAAAGATTACAGTCTCGAAATGTAAACCAATTTTGATTTTTTTTAAATAAAAATTAATGAAATTTAGAACAACTTTGTCGAGCCAGATTTTTATATTTTTATATTTTACTTCCCTTCTTTTAAATCAGGCATAAATAAATTTAGATTTATATAGAAACTTTTTTCAACCAAACAATTTCGATAAGATGCAGAAGCTTCAAACTTACTACTTCAAGAATAATAATTAATCAAAAGATTAATAACATAATAATAATTATTTAGTCTTACTCAATTCATTAGTTTTTATTTACTAAAATTACGTACTATTTCGATTAATCTCGTTGTCAAGTTGAGGTAAGATTTAATGACTAAGATTTAGTCAGTCTGTATGACTTTTTTCAGGCCTGTAATCGGAATTGAAACATTTAATTTCAATATCAATATCTGTGTGTGCCTGATATTAAATTAGGTGAGATATGAAATGAGTTATCTACTGTTTGACTGAAAAAAATGTCTAAATGTAATTTCTTTGCTGTTTAATTTAAAAGAAAGGAAACAAAAGATAAAAATCTGACTCGACAAAGTTGCTCTAAATTTCGTTAACTTTCATAAAAAAAAAGAATCAAGATCGGTTTGAATTTCGAGCTGTAGTTTTTTTTGAAACATGAAATTTCATTTGAATCCACTGTGCGGCGTGACGAATTTGCTTGTTTCTTTACAACCCTACTGATGTGATGTTCTTACGCTACGAAAACGCGAGACGGGTTTGCGTGAAACGGAGATTTCAACCGGTGTGATTTTCGCTGGATTTCGACATACTGGACACGCAAAAGTAGTTTCCGCGTTTATTTGTGATCGATAAGAAACGTTACGAGCTTCCTCGTGCTCGTATAATGTATAAAACATCGCATAATAATAATCAGCTTGCAAAATCGTAATCACATCGTGATCAATTTGTCCACTGACTAAAGCGAATGCGCTTGGGATTGTGATAAATTTAAATTTAGAAAATGTGCGTGCATGTTACACCTCGCGAGAGTAACGATAACGTCCTGCGGACGTCCGCGAATTTAATAAAAGGGAGCGAGCGAACGGCATCGGCTTCGTTCAGTCGCGCTGATTTACGATCGTTACATCGTCGTAGGGACCGGCAGCTGCCCGCGGAGGCGTTCGGCCGAGCACGAAGAAGTGCAACGATGCATTCCTTGCACGCAGCCCCCGCCAATATTACGTAAAAACAGATTAGGATTCACGCAAGCACAAGCCTGCACACAGGGTGTTCAGAAAACGCGTAATATATATATATTTTTTTTATTTTCTTTAGTTTACAATAATAGAAAACGCGCAATAACTTTCTAATTCTTTGTAATAACACAATAACTCTTCATTACAATGAGAAAAAATGTCTAAAAAATAGCTAATATTTATTTGATAGATACTAATAACATATTTACTTAAAAGTAAATCCCTTTATTTAAATAGAATGAATAATCGCTCTCATGAAAAACTAAGCTTTCAAAAAAATTTATATTTTCTTATTTGAAAAATATTTTATATTAGTATAAGTGTCTTAGTATAAGACTAGTTCTTTTTTCTCTCAATGTAGAAGAATACAAATTCTCACTTAAATATAGGATTACAGGAAGCAGCACCTTACAACTGGAGTTACTGGGATGTTAGGATATTTTTCCTTTTGGTTTTGGAAGAAAGTCTCTTGAGGCCATATACTGAGCAAAAATACTCAAAAATTTATTTGTGGGAGATAGAGTTTGTTCATAGAGATAAGCTTCATTAAAAAAAAATAAACTTTGTATCCCGCAAATAAATTTACAAATATTTTTTCTCAATGTATGTAAGAGAATTCCGCTAAAGGATGAGATTATATATTTTTAGATAAATGTTAAGACTTTTATAAACTTTCCCGTCCTTTCTCTTTCAAGAAGTTAAATGCGTTGATATATGTGATAGTATATGAAAATATATATAGTAAATTGGGAAAGAATCTCTTAATTATTTTAATTGTCTTAATAAGAATTACACGTCTGAGTTTTTCTCACGAACTGAGTTTTCCTCATCAAGCTTACCGAAGTGTGTACGAGAATTAAAGATCTCTCTCCCGCTGTCGGAATAGTCTTCGCGACTTCTTGAGTTATAAAGAAAACAATCCCGGCATTTAAATGACTGCGCGTTGCATTCCTTCCGCGTATGCATTCGCGGCGCTGCGACGAGGTGATCGGAAAATGCGGAAGTCAATCGACATAAATATCGAAAAAAAAGAAAAATGTTGCGTTACGCGTATCGGCGCTTACGACGGTAAATCCGAGGTATGAGTGCGACGGATTAAAATAGCACTTCATCAGCGTGTTGTCATCTAACGACGCAATTCGACACGCAATATCGTAGAGCCGCGTAATTTCGCGCGGCACGAAAGCGAGAGATTCTTATTGCTCTCACGGATTCGCAGCGGATTCCTACGAAACTTCAATAGACCGATTTAGAAGCTTCGACGCAGGCGATTTAATCGCGTAATTTACCGCGAACACAGTCGATCGACTTGAGTCAAGAGAGAGAAAGGGGGAAAGACATGACGATAATTATTCGTTAATTAAAGCGACTCGACGGCATTTTCTACGGGAGCGAGGGACTCCTCGAGAGTGAGTCATCGGGAATCTTGCTTTTGTCAGTCGATTGGCCACACATACACAATTTTCCATAAAAATTCCTAATGCGTCGCCCACGGGGACGCAGGTCGCGGTGCCGATCCCCGAATGGATCGTCGTCGTCGTCGTCATTGGGACGACACGAAACGATTAAACCGTGCGTTCCACTTTCTCTCGGATTAATGACGCCGCCGATATACAACAAACGAGAACGGGAGAACGAGAGAACTGGTTCACCTCGTACGCCGCCGCCACACGAAATTCTCGAAGGAGCCACCACGCTGGCTGGGAAAGGAAATAATTGACAATGCAATTGCGTTTATGTAATAAACGTACGGCTGCAATCGGCGCTTGAGTTCGATCGAGTAATGTCCGGTCGAGAACCGTCGGCCTGAAAGGGTCTTTAACGAATCCGGACACAAAGAATGTGCACGACACTGCGCGTCATGAATTATTGCGACGATATTATTGATTTCTTCGATGTCATATAATATGATGTAATAAAAAGTAACACAGATTTCTACGATATAATATATGGTGAATTAAACTTTCTGCACCGAGAGAGAAGAAAATAATTAAAAGGCTACACTGGCGGAAGTGAAAATTAGGCAAAATTTGGAGCTGTAAAAAGTTGTAAAAAGTTGTAAATCAATGGGAATATAAGTTTTTTGTTATTTATATATTGTATATTGTATATTCAATAATATTTTAGTATAACTATTATTAGTAAAAAAAATATTATTAGTAAAAATTATTTAGTAAAAATATTTGTATATTGTATATTCAATAATATTTTAGTATAAAAAATAAAAAAGAATCGATTACACAACTCTGGTCGCGTTATTCTCGAAATAGCATTTTTTTAAGCTGCAACTACGATAACTAAAGAATATAGTTTACTTGATTAACTTAATGTGTCACACTAATGTTTATCATAATTGTATCTGTACCGGTTCATGAAGACTTCCCGCAGATTTTTAAACTATTCTTTATTTATTTATTTTATAAGCTCGAATTTTTCAGAGAAAAAATAAAATTTGATTTTTTATAACTTTCATTTTGCGAAATATTGTTTTTTTCTTAAAATCCACTCCATGAACCGGTAATTACAACCTTGATGAATAAAAAAATATATTGATACCGATTTCAAATTAGATCCTGTTGAGACCAAAATGATTACCACTGAAGGACAAAATTGAAATGATGTTAACATTGTCTCTTAATTATTTCTTTTTAAAAAATTTTTTAAATTAAATTCTGAACTGACTGAGTCTAAACTCTGTTGTAACAATGTGTTTATTTAAACAGAATTTATAAACATAAATCTAAGTTTAATCTACTATTGAGAAATCAGCTCTAAAGATCGATTTATCAATATAACAGCTTAAACTTAGACTTAACTTTAATCTCTGTCCTAACAATAAAGTTGGACAGAGTTGAAACTCGAATCTACATTTAAACTATCAAGATCCACTCTAAGAAAATCAGTGGATCTTTATACCACTTTCACCTCTTTTATACTTTTAACACACCAATGTTCAACTTACATGGCGATAATCGATCACTGGCGCGTCATTTCGAAGAATCTTCCACCGACCACACCCTGTCACACCCTGCGATAACCCTACGGCTCTTCTTCCCTCTCTTCTCTTCCCCCCCTCCTTGTCACTGCCCTCCGAAAAGCGAACCGATCCCGTTAAGATTTCGGCAGGTAGAGTCTCGCGCTCGCCGCACGGATCACTGAGAGTTGTCATTCATACATGATCAACGACGCGAATGAACACCGCCGGAGGAGCGGCACGACGAGTAACGAGGAGGTAGTTTCGCATTGAGCAGCGCGGGCGGCGATTCCGCGTCGTCGCGGAGGAGACGGCAGTCCCCGGTGGCTTGCATCACCGCGATTGCAACATCCGCCAACCTTGCAATGTCGTCGGCGTGTTTTTCTCTCTTTTCCGAGGCGACTCGCGACCGAACGACCGTCCCGCAGGGGAAGGCCGTGGCTGTCATCATCACTACCATCACTACCATCATCACCATCATCGCCATCATCTACTCCATGTTATAGTAGCGCGTTAAGTAATTGCCGCTCGTGCGTCGTGACATGACGCGACACGAATCGATCAGTCGCGTTATTTTCGCGCGCGATCAGGGTCGTGTCGAGGATAATTTATTCCGCGGATGGCCAACGAAGCGGTTGCTTACGTGCGTAACGTTCGACACACGCGTCGATTGCGTCGCATCATCGATCCCGGCGACAGTGTGTCCTCGAGGCGACGCGATTCGGACGTGGTTCATCGATTATTGTGACTGAAAGGTTCATCTATACACATCATGTATGTATGAGGACCCGCTAAAAATAAGATTACATCTTTTTGCGTGTATATACTCGAAAGAAGAATTAATTTTTTTATAGGAATATTATCAAATCTCACCGGAAAAAAAAGTGTTGATTCGACTTTATGTCAAACCAAATTCTTGTTTCAATTTTATATTCTTGATTGACCAAACTTATTAAGATTCAGAATATGTTTTGAATAAATTCGATGTTCTTATGACAAACTTATAGTAAATTTGCGGGCATACAAAATATTCTTAGAGTCGATTTTGATAGTTTAAATGTAGATTCGAGATTCAACTCTGTCCAACTTCATCACATTGTTAGGACAGAGTTTAAAGTTAAGTCTAAGTTTAAGCTGTTATATTGATAAGTCAATCTTTAGAGCTGATTTCTCAATAGTAGATTAAACTTAGATTTATGTTTATAAATTCTGTTTAAATAAACACATCGTTACAACAGAGTTTAGACTCAGTCAGTTCAGAATTTAATTTAAAAAATTAAAAAAAAAATAATTAAAAGACAATGTTAACATAATTTCAATTTTGTCCTTCAGTGGTAATCATCTTGGTCTCAACAGGATCTAATTTGAAATCGGTATTAATACATTTTATATAAAATAATTGAAACAAGTAATATTTACTTGTAATATTAAGTGCAGAATATATTTTTCTATATGTGTATATGTGTGCTGAATAAGGAGACGATAAGGAGAATCTGATAGACGATCGTGGCACATATCGAAAGCGCGCGCGAGTTGAGATGTCGCAAGAGAGAGCCTCGAACGTGAACTTCTCAGGTACAATTCAGTCGTGACTCGGGAAGTCATACGCGCGAGCATCGTCATCGCGAATGGGTGCCCCGCAGTGTCGGATACATCATAATCGCCGAGGTCATCCGCGCAGAAGAAGAAGAAGAAGCGCGGCGCGTGACATCCGTCGACAAAAATGTCTCGCACGCGAACGATCACTGGTGATTCAGACGGTGGAGATTCGAAAAGGTGACCGCGGTAATGCTGAGTGCGCAACTATGCGCGACCACGCGGGACTTCGCCGAAGAGGAGAGAGGAAAGTGGCGAACCCGGAATTAAAAATTCCCCCTCGCGAGCGCGCACTGACGATTTAACGCACGGGCAGTCGCGTAAATCACACGCTACTGAAAACCGGATCCCGTGTTTTCGGACGTTTCACCACATCATGGATATTCGCGATGCGATTGATTTGACCTTTCGACGCCGCGCGAAACAAGATCGCAGAGAGATCGTTTTTTCCTTCCATGCACGGGAAGGAAAAAGATTCGGTTGGATTGAACCGACTTCTAGAGATATGAAAAAGAACCGGAAAATCCCGCTTGACGTTATCGGAATTTTGCTCAAGTTAACTAGAAGTCCTCTTACTCAAACAGAAGTAAATGAAGTCTAAAAGAAGTTCTGATATCTTCAACTGGAATTTCTCGCTCGTTAAGATATTTTACCGGAAATTTGCTGAATCTTATCGAACTTCTTGTTCCATACACGAAAATTGACTTTCTCCGTCAAACTTTCATCGAGTAACAACGGTGAGTAATAATTCTGCGAAGAGAGCTGTGCACAGAGAAAATATTATCAATCTAAAGTATTATAGCTTTTTTTCATATAAATTCATTTCAATTTTCTATGTTTCCCTAATAGTAAAAAAATACACTGTTAATGATGTTAATTTCTCTTGCTAAGAAACGTACTAAATTTTGCTAAAAATATAGCAAATGTTTTAATAGCACATTAATTCTTAAAATATAAATAATATATATGAAATGGAATGTAGTGTATGCGAAAAAAAAGTTTAGTTGGATTAATCAACTTCTGGTGAGATATGAACGAACCATTCCGCTTGATGTTATCAGAATTCTGCTCAGGTTAATTAGAAATTCTAACTTGAACAGAATTCTGGTAACTTCAGCCGAAATTTCTTGTTCCTTCATATTTCGCGAGAAATTTGCTGAAACTAACCAAACTTCTGTTTTCATGTGAATTAATTGGAGTAGTTGCGACCGTTCTTCACTCGCGTCATAACGGGTGAGCACGCTCATAAATTTTTAATCGCGCGCTTTAACCATCACCCGCTTTCATTAAGATAAATTATTTAGCTCGCATTAACAATCCCCCAGCAATTCCAGCTGTTATATAAAATTTAGCTTAGCATAATGCAGCAGATAAGATAGAAAGTCGCAGTGCCAAGAAGAAATTTGAATAAAACACCGGAATAGAAAGTAAACTATCGCCACCGCGGTGGTTCGCGGAAAAAAATAGATGCGCAGCGCGCATTATCGTGGAGTGCACTTTCGCACCATCAAACTAAAAACCCCGTTTCTTCGGTAGAAATTTCCAGCAAGGTGGAAAACCCGTTGGCAGACTTTCGTGTCTCCCGCTGTGCGATCCGCGTTCTCAATGTCGTCTCGAATTCCGTGACTTCGCGATCTCCTGCGGTTTACTGCAGTTCAGCTCTTCCGGGAGCGCCCACGTTCGCCCTTGCGCGGAATGCAATCTCCGATTATGCATCGCAGCCGGCCGCGGTTCGCTCATGCTCCGCGGAGGATCGTGCATGCGCGCAGCCTCGAGGTATTGCGGTTTCCTCGAGGGGCCGCGGCTTTCGCCGACAAGCGCGAATCTCCGCGATTCCAACTTAATTATACGCGTCTCCGAGTTTCGCGAGGAGTCCTGATCTTTTGACCGAAAAGTGACGTAAGCAGCGCACATGTTTGACTGACATTACCAATTCTGTGCGTTGTAAATATTAGAGGACATGTATCTCTGTGAGGTACAGTCAGTGCATCTTTCACTGAGATGTGCTGTACTATTAGAAGATGATGCAGTTGTGAACGTGGCGCCATGCAGTTATGAATATGGCGATCAGTAAAATTATGACAAGGATCAATTAATGCATGGAAAAAGGTCTCAGTTCGTACAACTGAATAGAGACTAGACGAAAAACTCGCTCAAGAGAAACAATATTTCTGTTATTGTGACCGAAAACATTCGTCTGAACATTCAGTTGAACTAAAACTCGATTGGGATAACTAAGAGCAATTAGCTCTGTTACAATAATAAATAAAGTAAATTGAATGAAAGCCTCTTTTTTTGCGGATAAGGCGAAGCAAAAATTAAGCTAAATTTAAATTAAGCTAAATTAAATTAAGCTAAATTTAAAAAATCAACGAATTATTTTACTAATTCAGTCAAAAGCATTTTTATCGATCCACCGACGAGAGAATATAATAAACCTGACGATAAATAAAATAAATCGAATAAAAGTACGGCCTCCTTTCTGTGCGGATTCTGCTTGGGTTACGGTGAATTTCTACGACGTTCGCTACATGACAGAATCGACACGCATGATATGACACGGTCGACGACTTTGAAAAAGCTCGGGCACCGCTGTTCTGGCACACCCGGTACGTAATGTATGCGCGAGTTATGGCCGCGGGACTGGCCGCGTAACAGTATCGCGTTATGCTCGCTGCGCGTCCACGTACGGTAACGCGGATTCGCTCGCATATACTCGCAGTGGATCCCTGCTCTCTTAACGATCTCTATCGCCGCGGGCATTTGGACGGGACGCGCAATAATTAAATTCGTCATTCATGCGCGAACAATGTCGAGATGTAACTCCGCGCGAACGTATGGCGCGCGTGTCATTCGTTTCGTGTAAATATTTAAATTCTGCATAGTCTGATAACAGAGCCAAATGTATCGATACAGATTAATTTGCTCAATCGAGAATTCAACTGTGTGGCGTATGAGTGAAATCAAAAGGTTTCCGTCTGAATAAAAAATATACATGGGACAGAGAAGAGAGAGATCGCGAGTGTCAATTTTGTAGGTAGTTAAAAATAATTCCCGATATGATTTGGTAATTCTCTGAAGTACAGAGGAAAAGGGAAAGTTATTTTTGTGTATTAATCGCACGTAAATTGTGTACACGGAAAAAATACTATAGTAAAAGTTGTAACAAAATTTTTGTAATATTATAGTAATTACATAATAAAATTTAATTAAATTTCATAAAATTATAAAAATAATTTTACGAAAAAAATTATAATAATACTTTTTGGAACATACACTCTGAGAAAAAAATGTTTACTATTTGTAATTATAATTACATAAAGATATAATTGCTATAAATGATGGTGAAATTTTACTATAAATTATAGCAAAGTCATTTTTTCATTAAATTCTACTATAATCTTAGTGGTAATAAGCTTATACATACATACATACATACATACATATATATATATATATATATATATATATATATATATATATATATATATATGTTACTACTATTTTCATGTTAAGCCATTTACTACTACTATTTTCATGTTAAGCCAATCAAAAGATATGTTGAAAACCAAAAATAACTATAATTTCAATTAGATCAACATTTTTCTTTCTCAATGTACGGAGAATTACTATATATTTGTAAAACGTTATGCACGTTTGACTTTTCACCACAAAATTATCACAACTATACTTGAATACTTTTATATCATGTATAATATTATTCAATTAATTTATTATTTGTACGATAATTTACACAAATTTCTGTGGCTTCTTTTGTAAAACTGGACTGCATAATCTCAATATGGTGTCGCTTTGTGAAAGAAAAAAAATTGAAAAAGAAAATACAATTTTAACGCAACTTTTACTACAACATTTTCTCCGTGTATCTCGCGACTCTCTGCGATATCGCCAATATCTCGGCGTGAAATCCTTCTCAAAGAGACAATTATGTTGATCGCAAGTGCGATGCTTGTAGACCACTTCATGCCGATTCACAGCGAATTTTTTAAAACACCCGAGAGTTCCGTCTCGTCACAGTCGCTTTACAACGAAGATGGATAGCATAGAGAAGCATTAATGATAGCAATGACATTGACACCTGACGCTTCAACAAGAAAGAAAATAAGCCACTTGCGACCGACCTGCGTGCGCTCGCGATTCCGCTGTATCATTCGTGTTCTTTGCGCGGTATATAAGGCAAAACCGGTCGATTACCTTTTTATCCGTCAGGGCAGTTTAATTGCGCCCGCGAATTTCCTGAATCGGCGACGGCCATTCATGCGCGGCTCCGCAACCGACGTGCTTCAGGGAAGTCCTTAACGATCCGCGGAAACTGAAACGGTCCGTCGCGTATCCACCGTAAGCGCAATTGGCATTTAACCCCGATCTAGCGCAGCTTACACGACCGAGCTCCGTCTATACCGAGGAGCCTCTTATAATCTCCCGCGAGCGATCCTCGGATTAGCCGCAGTAGCCGGTCTGCGCAAAACTGAGAGTGATTCTCAGCGTTGCGTCGCTCGACGACTGTGAGTTTGTTTCAAAAATATCGTTGCTATAGTAAAACTCTCTTTAACAAATTTAGAGTAGAATTATATGAGTTTCTGATAAAAAGGCCGAAAGATTATCTGCAGATACATACTCAAATGTAAATGTGAATGTTCTCAAGTATTTCAAACTTAATATATATGATTAATACATATTTTGAAGGGAGCTTGAAGGGCGCTTAAAGGGAGTGTTTCCAAGAACACATAACAAATCTCTCTCTATCTCTCCTTTTCCTTCACTCTTAATTATACATTAACAATTACTTCATGCATTTTTAGATCGATTGAAGTTAGATTTAAACAAACATGTTATATTAGTATCCGCTAAATAAGTAGTCTATTTTTTTTAATAATTTCTCTCCCAAAGTGGAAGCCGTTAATTTCATCGCCACAAACAAAAAAAAAAGTTGAATTTGATACAAGAAATTCACGAATTTGCGTATTACAGATTTTGCAATAAAATGTCACCTCCACTAGAAAATCAGTGCGAGTTAAGACGGAGTAGTAAAGTAGGAATGTTTTCATTGAAAATAAGCGATCAATTCACTAATCATCGATGAAAAATAGTCCTGATTCAATCAGAGACATTTTTACCGATTTACCTTAAAGAGAGTTGTATGAAAAATGAAGGGCTTAAAACCATTCGGCGCGGAAAGGAACGCAACGCTAAGTAATGAAGCGCGCGGACGGAGCCGTAACGTAAGACACATCGCGAAGGATAAAACACGATCCTGTCAGGTGAGCCATGCGCCCTGTGCACGTACCGTGCCACGACCTCGTATATACTCCAGGTATAGATTCTCTTCCGTGAAGAAAGCTGCGTTCGGCACACAATCCGCCGCGGATACAAGGCGCTCGAGAAGTTTCTATCGATTTATCGATAGTGTGCTTACATCAAGTTCGAAGACTCAAGTTTCGCAAACAACGCAGACAATTAAATATTAAATATCAAACAGCGAGAAATAAGATAGCGTTTGCTGAACAGATCTGTAGGAGAGAATTTGATTGTAGTTTTGACTTGAAATCACGAAACTACGGCGAGGAATTGACGACTTCCGCCGATTCCGATTGAAAAATCATCGACACGAGCGCGTCGAGGAATCTCCCATCTGGGAGTTGTCCTCAGTTATAAAACGCGTAACTATTTTACGGAGGATTACCTGTTCAACAGGCGCAAGCGCACCGACACGGAGCCGTCATACGAGCAGGAGTCGAGACGAAGAGAAGGAATTCTGCATGATGCAGCCGCGTGCACGGAGCGGAACGACCCGTCGTCGCATTAATAATTCTGTGCGAACGCAGAAACGAGTGAAGATGAGAGAGAACGAGAGAGAGAGAGAGAGAGAGAGGGAGAGAGGACGGGAGGAAAAGAGGAACGGATTTACCGTCAGGTGAACCGGGATGTAAACAGGATGCCGCAGGATAACGTAGCCTGACGAGGACACTCGCCGAGGTAGCAAGGTCGTTGCCACTCCAGACATCGAGGGCTACTCCTGTGCCGCCGCATCCTCCCTCGATTACACCTCTGAATTCTCCGAACGCACGTACAGCGCTAAACGCGGCTATCTGTTCCGTGTCTCTCGCGTTGACGTTCAACATAACTCTCAGATTAGATGAATGAGGGGGAGAAGAGGACGCGCTTGGAGCGTCCGAGCTCCGTTCGACTTGGCGCTCGAATGTCTACGTACACAGGAAAAAAGGATATTCTTGTTTGGAAGATATCTTTATTTTTAACATGCACTGAGAAAGAAATATTTAAAAACTGATTTGTGGGATACAAAGTTTATTTCTGCGAGATAAAGTTAATTTCTGCGAAATAAACTTTTGTCCCACACAAATAAATTTTCAATAATTTTTTTCACAATATGTTAATCTTCAATGTTATCCTTTTAAAACATGTTAGTCTTGCAAGTAACTTATCTGCATTTAACACTATGTAATTTTATCTGAAGATTAATGTGTTAAAAATGAAGATATTTTCCAAACAAGAATGTTTTTCTCTCTCTCTTTCTCTGTGTAGTACTAATCTCCGTCTAATTAAATAAATAAATAAAATAAAGTAGCGACTAAACGAGTCGCGTCGCAGGAATATGCGCAAAAAGGTATCATAAAATATTTTTGTAATATTAAATAACGGTAGATCGTGGAAATGAACGAAGAACTCGTCTGCTGGTTGAAAAACGTCGCAATTACGTCGTAGAAAATAAGTTATCGCGATCCGGCATACGGTATACGCGCCGACACTTTACGTTAGAATATGATTCGCATCAATTCCCGCTGCGCGAATGAACGTCATATTTTTCGATTGCTGCTAATTATATATTCTGCCGGCAGCCGGCGTTGGACGCGTGGTAAATGCCACGCTGTCGCAGCTTAAAAAGCGGAGCTAAACGGTGATCCTTGAACGAGCGTGTGTTTCCCGATTTCAATAATGACTGCCGCCACGGCAATCCCGGCACGAACAGATCCAACTTAAGTAATGGCTTTTACTTATGCTAATGGCTTTCACCTTGCCACGGCGGTCGTTATCATCCCGGGAACCCTTGGCGAGATGAGTAAGCCGAACACGCGGCGGGTCGCGTGTAAGGAAGTGATCCTCGTCGATCAGCCGAAGGAAACCGACCCAATTCCGCGGCGATCTCGTTCGCAACATGCGCCACCGTAAATATTGGGTCGCTGTATACTGATCGAAGCGATCAGCCGCGTTCGCGCGGCTCGCGAAACCGAGTATCTCGTGATAACAGCCGACAGTCACGTATCGCGTCCAAAGAGAAGAGGTTTCTTCGCGATGATTTCACGAAGTGCCTCGCGAAAGTGTGCACATTTGAAGATTCGTAGGAGGAAATACAAGACAATATTTTCTTGCTCATATTATCATTTAGGGCCGGTTTTTCAATAGCAGTTTAAACTTGGATTCAAGTTTAAACTCTATTCTAACAATGCGAATAGTTTTGTTTGATCAATCGAAAAATTCGTTTGGACTATTCCAAAGAAGCGTTTATTTGATTCAACCAAATCGTTCTCTCTGTGTAGTTACAGAAATAAATTTGACTTCATAAAAATAGAAATTACTTCACAGAAATAAACCTCATATTTCACAAATAAATTTTCAAATATTTCTTTCTCATCAATACACATTCTCACATTTTTTGTCAGTGCAAAAGCTCCTCTAACTGTAAGAATACTACGCTTGGAATAACTTCCTTCTAGTTTTAAAAGAATCCCTCTGAAGCAACGAACAAGAGGAGTCCGATAAGATTTGTGAGCTTTGAGGATATTTCCCGATTGTCAGCGCTCGGCCGCGAGAGTAATTTTACCGAAAGTAACCGGTACAAAGCCGACGGAGGGGTAGGGAGACGACCGTGCTCCGATTAACGTTCTCAGACGGGGACTTTCGGATGACCGTCGCGCAAAAAGCGGTCTTGCGAGACCGCACGTGGATCCCCGCCGCGGAAAAACTGGTCGCACACCCGTCCGGTCGATACACTATGGGTCGATAGTTGAATTACGCTCCTATTTGCGCGCGAAATAGAATGGCAAATCCATGGTGTCGTCCGCAAGCCGTCATAGATTCGCGAAAATTTATCGAATTTTCATCGAGAAGCTTCGCCGATAATTCACGGCCTCAACAAAATTTTCCTCAACAAAAGAGGC